AAAAAAAAAAGAAAAAAAAAGTGAGCCGAGGAGGACTATTGTATAACTCCAGTTACACATATTCTATAACCCCACAGTCCTGGGTTGGACAGCAGGCAACTTACACAGTTGTAACTGGCAGTCTCGCCAGACCCTCTGGTACTTCGGATGCTACCATCCCTTATGTTCAGTGGTGGACAGCCCATGCCCTCAGCTACCTTTAAAATCCTCCTGTCAGACCAAGCCAGGCCAGGAAGGGGTCTGTGTTCCGGGGAGCCCAGGCCTAGCCCCCATCTCTGAGCTTGGCTGAGGCTGCAGCCACAGTCCTGGAGGTGTCCCTGGCCCTGGGACGGGTCAATTCTTACCTGCAAGCTGAACTTGTTTGGACAGTCTCTTCTTAGAATCGGGAGGTAAAGTTCCTGAGGCTGTTGGCCCCGGCGAGGGTTCCCAGCATGTTCCTATCGAAACCTTGCTGCAAGGGGAGAAACAGGTACTGTGTGACACATACTGGAAAGCACTGTGGGACTCCTGCGGTCAGAAACTGCCTGCCAGTAAGGAGCAGCCTCGTTCCCTCGGCCTCTGCACCAAAGTGTTCTGAGCACTGCATATGTAAGCGGGGGGCTAAAACTGGCCTAATTGACTGTGGCCAAACGTTATGCTGCTAATACCCACGAGTTAGCAAAATGTGTTTGGCCCCTCATCAGGTCATGTGAATTTCTTGCTCACTTTTGCAGAAACCCAAGTCAAGGCATGAGAATTCAGGCTGGTACTCATGACTCTATGCAGCACAAAAATCCAAATCAGATTACGAGAATGCGACAATTTTTCTTCTGACTGTCCTTGTCTTTCTTTCTTTTGTTTTTTTAAAGTCCAACCAGAGCTCTCGGGCAGGGAGGATGTGCTCAGTGCTTCTCAAAGTCAGGGGCAGCTCCCACCAGCAGCTGCTCCCCACCGCCAGCCCAGCCCCAGCTCCTGCTGGGGGCAGATTGAGCCCGGATCCTGTTCTTTCTCTAGTACAGAGCAGGTGCTCAATACAGACTCCAGACGCGATGAGGACAGCATGGTGTCGGCGTAGCCACTGGCCAGGTGGCTTGAGCAGAGGGTCTTGGTCTAGGTCCCAGTTGTATCTCAGACCCAGGGGAAAAGAGAGGAGATGACAGAGGGTGCATGACAGCAGCCAGCCCGAGCCCCAGTCCTACTGTGCTTGGGCATGAAGTGCATGATGTCGTTTTCCCCCTTCAGGTGTGTTGGCTTGCTCCTGTTCAGCTTGGCTGAACTGGGTGGAAAGAATGTGCGAGCAAAAGGTTTTCCTCCTGCCCTGACTTGCTGAATCCAGGCAAACTCCTTGGACCTTGAGTCCCTAGTCAGCAAAATGGGTATAAGCCATGTGGACTGTCTCACCACTCTTGCGACAGGCCGATGAACGATAGGTATGAATGCACGTCAGGAACAGAAGCCCGGCCCAGACCCTGCCCAGGCTGTTGTCAAGCACAGCGGGGGTGGAGACCAATGGGCACCGTGTGGAAGGGAATTCACATGAAGAGTACAGTGAGCGCATTCGCTGAGCGTCTCAGCCAAGATGGGGAACTGAATCCATCGGAGCTCCCTCAGGCAGCTCACGGAAGCTCTCACCCTGCTCTCCTTACCTGTCTCTTCCCCTTCCCTGGGGCCCACTTGGGGCTCTGGATTGTCAAGTGAAGAACGGGGGCCGCTGTCTGCATGCAGACTGCCCCACTCTCCTGGACCACAGTGACTTCCTGGCCCCTCTACTGCTTCCCTGCAGTGCTGGAGAACAGCTGTCCCGCCTTCTGCCCGGGGTGGTCTTGTGGGTGTGTGTGCGCCCTCCTCCTCCTCCATCCCTTCATTCTCCCTTCTCCACCTCTCCCTGTCATGACTAAGATGCTCAGATCCCCTGTCGTTAACAGGCTTCTTTTCACCCACCTCCTCTTTCCTTCCTCTTACGGTCAAACTGTAGTCCCCCACCCCATCCCATCATGACCGCACCCACTCCAGCTCCCTGGTGCTCCCCTTGCTGGGCAACAGCGCTCTGAAGTCCCCTTGAGACTCTGAAGCACCAGACAGATCCAGAGCCTTTCCTGGTCCCCATCCTCTTTGTCCCCTCCACAGCACTGGGAATGCTGCCCACTGACCCTGGGAGCGCCCCCCTCTCCCACGAGGTCTTCTGCCCCTTCCTGCGCACCTTGTACACATCCTCCTGTTTCCCTCTCCTTCCTCCCTCTCAGCCCTCAGGTGAGGTCTTCATGGCCCTGCCCTTAACCCTGAAGTCTTTCCTGTAGTCATGAGCCCCATGAGAGTCTTGCCTGTTCTCATGGCCTCACCAGTCTGGACTCCAGCCTCTCTGCCAGGGTCCCCCACTGCATCCTGCTTGGCTGCCACCCAAGCTGTCCAGACTCAACTCACTCCACGAGCCTCCTGGACCTCTTGTCACCTGATATATTTCTGTTAATTGGACCACAGTGTCTTTGAGTCATAGTCCTGCTCCTCTGCTTCATCCATCCCCTGCCCTTTATTTCCACTTCTCTGCTGCCCACATCTCAGCCCAAAGAATGGCTGCTGAAGGGCTGGGAGAGAAGGATCATGAGGAGAGGTCTCATATCACAAGCCTGGAGAGAGGCCTTGGTGTCTGCTCACGCTGGGGGTCATTGAGGACGGGGGGACAAAGGTCACCCTAGTCAGGCCCAGCAGCCTCCAGGGTCCACTCCGTCTGGTACACTGGCATGGAATTCATCATGCTCCCATCGTGAGACCCTTTATTCAAAGCCTTGATTGGCACAAAGGCACAAGTCCAAACTCTTTGGCCTGCAGCTGAAGGGCTTTTGTAATCCAGCCCAAATCTGCCTTTCAGCCTCAATGTACATCGACCCCCTCCCAAATACCTGTGTGCTCTTTGTGCCCCTTGCTTTGTCAATTTGCTCCTAAACCACACTGCTCCAGGGCACTCACACACTTCCTGTGCCCTTCACATACTTGGCAACCCTAGGAGATCCCAGAGCCTGGGGGTTTGGGTGGTGTTGATCAAGATCATCGCTTCTCAAACCCTCCCTGGGAGGGAGTCTCCCCCGGGTGGGTGGGGACCAATCTGCCTCTCCCTTCTTGGTCCCCTGGGACTTCGGGACAGGGCACATCAGAAGGGGCTGTGGGGTGGGAGCTTACCTGTCTGAGGACACCCTGAAGCTCCCTGATGGACCACATGTCAGACAGGAGGAGCCGGGCAGCCTCTGCAGCCTTAGGTGAGGTGCTGGACAGGTGAGAAGTGTGACTGTGAGAGGAGACTCTGCCTGGAGGCGAGAGACTGCCCCTCCCTCCTGCCATCTTTTGCATGCATTGGTTGCATGACAGAGGGGCACAACCCCACCCCTGCCCACCTAGAGGCGCCCTGTGGGCCATGAGCTCATCCTGCAGCCTTTGTGTACGGGTGATGGAGCCCCGTGGACCGTAGCAAAGTTCCCATGTAGTTGGGTCTGCTGCCTCATGTCTCCTGTTGACCATCTGAGGACCCAGTGCCCCTGCATGTCCCCCAGCCAAGAAATGCACTGCCTCTGTCCCTCTGTGCAGCCCTGAGGCCTGGAGACTGCGCCTGTAGCCCCCCCCAGCCCTCTTGGTTTCTGGAACTTCTCTCCTATCAGAGGCCTCCCACCTGCCCTTCCTTGCACTACATCCTTTCCCGCCTCCACTTCAGTGCCTGCTGTGCAGGGAGAAGGGCTATGCTGCCAGAAGGCCGACAGGGGGCGCCGTCCGCTCCTCACAGACCTGTTGCGGCACAGGTTGATGACGTTGTTAAGCATGCTGCTGGAGAAGTACTGCTTGGCCATCTGCGGCTGCGAGGCCATCAGGTTCCTCACAGTGTAGCAAGCTGAAGACAAGATATCTTCAGAGTTGCTGGTGTTGCCATTGTGGCTGGTGAGGAGCCTAGTCACCTCTGGGAATACTTGGTTCCCTGAGAGAAAGAGTTGGCACAGGGTCAGGATTGCCAAGGGAAGGAGGGGCTGAAGGGTTCCCTCTGAGGCCACAGTCCTAGGCTTCCCTCATTCAGGCTTTGAGCCAGGTGGCCCCACAGGGCTCCATGACAGTTCCAATCCAGAGGGGACCTCTGCAGACCTGCCGCCCCACCTTGGTGACCTGCTCCTTCCCCTCTCCTCGGCCAGCTTTCCCTCTAAATGCTCACCCTGGGGAATGGCTCAAGAGTGACCGTCCTGCAGGCTCTGGAACACGGGCAGCCTGCCGTGTCCTGTCTGGAGAGGGAAGGGGTAGGCGCTCTTACCCATCACTCTGTGCAGCACAGGATGGCGGGACATGTTGCTTAGGAGGGAGGCCCCGGACCGTACCACGTCTGAGTTGCCAGATTGCAGGAGGCGGGCAATTTGTGGCAAGCCCTTTTCCTTCAGCCCAATCAGCTGACTCATGCCACTGGACATCTATGAGAGAAGGCCCCAGGAAGAGTGGGCTTGTGGCTTTCCAAGCACCAGGCAGGCAATCCCATTCCCAGAACCCAGGGCCTTTTCTCCTTCACGCTGGAAGCATAGGCAGACATAGAAATTGCTCACACCTGGGTGCCTACAGAACTTGGGCTCACTTGACCCCTCCTGCCCTTACCCCCTGCCCCCTGGATGACAGCTTGCAGCTCAGCTGGGAGGGGAAATCCCATTTCTTTCACTCATGGTGACCGAGAGTCAGCTTCTAAAGTGTCCATACCTTACCCAACTGTCTCAGCTCTGCCTCTCTCAAATATCCTTCCCAGCAGTACCTGCTGACGGGGAACATGGTCAAAAGCCTCTGTCAATTAAAGAAGGACTCGGGCTAGGGGTGCAGCTCAGTGGTACAGCACTTGCCTAGCATGCACAAGACCCTGAGCTCTAAACCCAGCACTGGCGGGGCGGGGGGTCCATTATCTTCCAATTTCCCTACCTGTGCTGAAATTCAAATCATATTTGTTATGGGCTTACCTGAGGTAAAGATAGATCAGACATAGTCTGGGACCTCATGGAAATATACTTGGGGTCCCCTGGTGGTAGCCCAGCTCATCCATGACTCTGAGAAACCAGGCATCCTGCGGGAGCCTGGGCTAGGCCGGTTTGGGGTCATGGAGACCCCAGACTCTTCCCCTCACAGATAAGTTTCCCTTACCCTTAGGTTTTCAGCATCCACTGCTGCCCAAATCCCTTCCATCCTAAGTAAAAGCTAGGGAACAGTTAGTGACCTGTAGGCCTTTTTGGTCCCCACTGTATATCATCACATCCCCAAAACTGTATTTGGGTTCAAAACCTATTCTAGTTCTGTCATATCCTCCTCTGGACCTGCTTGTGTTCCAAATTCTTTTTCTACTCTGTCAGTTCACCAAACAGAGACTCCATCCCAGGTAGCAGAGGTCAGCACTGGCCCGGGATCCGTGAGGCAAACAGGTTAGTGGGCACCAGCCTGGAGCTCCGGAGGGCAGGACATCTCTCTCATCACTGCCTCCATGCCCGGCCCAGGGCTTCTCAGGCTCATATCTGCAGCCTGAAACTCACAGCCTGCATGTGTTTGACAGACGAGGGCCAGGACAGGCTCTGGGAAAAGCAGGGAGCTGAGCCCGGAGTGTGGGGAGCAGCAGGAGGAGGGGCCCCTCACCAGCCCCTTGCTGGCCGTCAGGTTCTGCAGGGCGCCAGCACAGGCCTCCAGGGTGGCATCCTTCTTGCTCTTGCCCATGAGGTTCAGGTAGGTGCGGATGGCATCTGAGTGGTACAGCCAGCTGCTGCCCCTGGGGTTGGTCTCTTCCTCGGGAAGGGGACACTCATAGTTGTTGTTCTGAGGACAGAGAGCAGGTCAGGGGACATGAGCCAAGCATCCTCTCCCTCCCTGAACTTCAGGGTCGTGGTGACTGACACAGGCAGGGTGCCTGTGTATCCCAGCACGCCATAGAAAGGTCCTCCACTGTCTCAGGATGGAGGGGGCAGGTGGCATTCCTGGTACCCCAGGAAGTGTGCTCCAGGGCAGCCTCAGCCCAGACCTTCCAGCATATGAGGCCCTTTGGGGGTCTCACTGCAAGATGCTTCCTCCCTCCTGGGGTTAGAACGTGGGTTTGACCTGCCCTAGATCCACAGGGCCTTCTGGGCTTGGCTTTAGGCTGTGCCCCGTAGAAGAGGCCTGACCCTCCTTCCACTGTGTCCTCCTTGGGGGCTCCGGAGGTGGTGCCCAAAAACAGCTGAGTCCTGGCACTCCCTTAGGGGTCGGGGAGAAGAGGCCGGCCCTTGGAGGGAAGGCAGATCCCCTCGTTGTGCAGGTGGAGGGCCCTCTCCCAGCCTCCAGAGAGCAGCACACTCCGAATGCTGTGGCTTGGGAAGGGGCCTGGCCCCTAGGGCTGCTTTCAGGCCCTGGGAGAGTCAAGAGGGTGGATAGGGCAGTGGGCCTCGGGGGGCCCCGGGTCTGCCCAGAGACCCTGCTCACCATCATCTTGTCGCTCTTATTGCTGAAGCAGCCAGTGGAAGACTTCTCCATGTAGCTATTGCGGGTGTTATACTCCAGCTGGCGGTAGCGGGTGGGCACCTCGGCGTCCAGGCGGTAGGAGAGGTTGTGCAGGATGCACATGCAGTTCTCCACGGACTGTGGAGCAAGTAGAAGCAGGCGCGTGATCCGCCGCCAAGCCCCTGGCGGGCTGTGGGCTCCCACCCGCCTGACTGACCAGAGCAGCATCCAGAGAGATGAACAGACGCCCCCTGTACCCTCAGCGGGCAAGGATCTCCGAGGGACTCTGCTGGGACCTGGATCTGAGTCCTGGCTCTGTCATTTCCTGGCTATTTGAACCCGAGTGACCCACCTTACCTTTGTGGGCCTCAGTTTCCTCAGCTGTAAAATGCAACTGAAATCACTTCAATGGCTACTGGGAAGACTATACAGGGTGCCCCTGTACCCTTGGGATCCCTATCAGGACTCAACTAACCACGAATTGAAATAAGTTTTAAAAAAGTTACATCTGTATCAAACGTACCAACTATTTCTGTAGTACTGACCTTGTATCATCATAAGTGTAGGTATTATACGTAACCTTATTGTTTATGAATGATGACAGGGTGGGTATATATATATATAT